AAAAACAAAACTATTTTATCTAGGTGGTTTGAATCATTCTTGCATATTGTCAGCAGTAAAGATTGAAAGCAATAGGAAAAGCAAATGTTTCTGTTGCATTTCAAATTGAAATTTCAAAGCCATACGGGAGCCCAGTATAAGTTTTAATCCATTCTCAAGTGAAAAACGCATGATAATTTGGAGAAACTCATAAATGTAATCGATGGACAGAGTGGATTCAACTGCTAAGAATTGTCAAAAAAGTTTTCCAATTGTCTGTCCAGCTTTACATGAACAAGTTATGCTGCCAATTTTATAAGCTTTTTCCTTAAAGTTTAAAATGCAGGTAATTTTTACAGGATATATGTCAAAACTGATGTTTGAACATAAAGATCACAAATATGTATAGAACAATCTCACTCATTTGTTTCAATAATACCATATAAAATGGTGTCCCACTATCAATAATTATTATTGCTAGTGTAATCATAGTAGTAATCATTTTATGTACTATGATATATGCTGCTTGTAGCTGTTTATGGAGATACTTTACAGAATAATAATAACCTATAAAATATCTTGATAAACAACTACAAACAGCTTATATCATTATATCTGATAGTCAACATAAAATTAATCCTATATTACTATGTGAGATTGAGGCTGTGTGACTCTGGTCATATTTTAGGATGGAAATATTTTATTTTGTTTAAAGATTGTTAAGATCATTTTAACATCAAGATTCCTGACATCAGTTAGGAAAGAAAAGAAAAATTGCATCCCAACTCACGATCTTTTGAAAATTATACCAATCCGAGTGGCTTATGAATTTAGGATGGATTTGAAATCTTTCATGGATAAGAAAATAGAACTAGTCTGGAAACATCTTTATCATATATAAACATATTTATTTAAATTCAATAATATAAATGCTTTCAAAAAAATTATAAATATAAATACAACACAAATGTTAAACAATCTCTAAAATATCAAGGGTCTTATCGAATAAATCTGCTATAAGTGTATTTTTCCTTAGCTATTTTATTGACATATCAAATTTATCTAAAATTGAAGAGAGAGAGTTTACAGGTTTGAGAAAATGCAATAACTCATTTCTTCTGAGTCATTGACGGGATTGGCTACATTTTCCTGTATTTGACGGAAAAACTCCTTTTTTATTCAGATACCAACTTTCTTTGAAGTTGTTTTCAAATTCAGTTTTCTGGGCATTGGTGTTGATCCTATTTATAGGATATTCGTCCGACCAATCATTTTGGGCTATTCAAGTCATCTGAGGAGAGAAGTAACAAGGAACTTCCTTGTGGAGTTGATATCAAAATCAGCATCTCTCGTCAAGAACTTCCTCAAAAATCGAAAGAGAGTTTGTTTGTGACTAACATAAATGTTAGTCACAAACAAACAAACTTTGTTAAACATTTAATTGTTTAACGAAATTTTAAAATTTTCTATTCAACCTAAAATATTGGCCCGTAGATTCTCACACTATATAGTTACAAGCAACCCAGATAAAGTAGCCATTTTGTAAAAATACTGCTCCCTGTATAGTTCATGAAAAATGTGAATAGCCTACAAGTAAAGGTCTGTTGTGAACTGTATGCTTCAGTCTTTGTGGAACTTTTTCATCAATGTGGACTTTTAATTGTTTTTTAAAATATTTTTATATTAAAATAAATTATTTTTTTAATTCAATATTAAGTGTAAATTTTACATTTAAAATGTTATTTTTCTGTTAATTTTGTTTGAAGTATATATCTTCCACTATGGCTTTCATTTATTGAGATATTGAGTTGGTAGCATAATCATGAATTGTATGAACAGCACAGTATTTGAAAGCCAAAATCCAATTATTGAGGGAGCATGAAGAATATAAGTGTCAGCAATCATTGGTCAAAGGATCAAAGTTTTTATTCTGAAAGAATTGTTATAAGATTGCATTGTTTAACTAGAAGATAAAAAAGTCTCTAAAAATTATATTTATACATTCAAACAGATAGCATAAGTCTGGTTTCCTCCCATGTCTTAATGAATTTGAAACCATTCTGACATTTAATATCAGTATCATATTCAGCTATTTTTTATCACTCACTATATTATTTTAGATCAGTTTAAACAGATTTCATCAAACTGGTGTACACACTTTTCATTTTGTACTATTTACTGCTTAAATTTATTAATATAATCTTGTCCTGTGATTTATCTATTTCCAAATTTTTAGTTAAAATGCAAGTCGTTAAAAGATTCATAATGAATCTTGGTATTAATTTTTGGTTGCATTAGAACTATTAAATAAAAAATTTCTCTTTAAACAGTGTTGAATAGGGATACATTAATTATGATCGCTCAATACTTTGAGTAATGAAAGCATTTTCCCATACTATAATTATTAAGGTGGTTAAGTAAATGCTTGTCACTAACAACATCAGTGATATGGTAGATCAAAATCAAAGCTTAACTATCAAAAACAATTATTTTATTTTAATAGCACACAAATATTATCATATTTATGATGATATTTGTGTGCTATTAGTGTATTTGTGTTAACATGTATTATAGATGAAAAATTTTTCTAAGTTTAGTAGTGTGACAGAAATATGATTTAAGAGCTTTTCCTAGACTTTGTAATATATGTAATATGATGCCATAAATATTACACAATGCAGGACAAATTAATACTTTACAAATGTTTCATTTCTTAGGCAACTTTTGTATACTTACTGATTTTATGAGTATATGTTTTGTATGTAGTGAATGTTTGTTTTGATCGATAGATCTATGATAAATATGATTTTGTTTTGTTTGTTAATGAGTGTGATATCTGATATATTGTAATAAATTTTTTAAATTTGTAAATAAAATTTTTGTAATATATTTTATATGTATTGTTTTCTAATGTAGTCTGTGGTGTGTATTTACAGTATGTTATCTGAGTATGTAATTTGTTTGGGTGCAAGCTTTTGATTTATTGGGAGGGATCTGAGAAGGTATGACTGCACTGCCAATGGCTAGTTTGATGGGTAGAGTGGATGGGCCCATAAATGCTTTACAGTGGCTGGCTTTTTATATACAGTCAACCCCCCATAACACTGCTGATATTCTGTTTTATATGAATTCCATGTTGTATGAGTCACTTANTTTTTTTTTTATGGACCATCAGAGTTAAAAAAACAGCCTACGTACAATGGTGCCTCAAATTTCAAATTTAATTTATTTCAGGGGACCAAAATTGATCTCTGAATTGTTCAAAATCCAAATTAGTTTTCTGCATTAGATAATGGAAAGTGAATTAATCCCTTCCCAGTCTCTAAACATTACCAACTTCAATAAATTAGAACATATACAGTATTTATATATTTATTTATTGTTTAATAAAATGGAATTTGCATTTCCTATACTTTAGTGAGGAGTGGTGGTGATAGTTTCTTAAGGTCACTAAACACCTGCTTGGCTATGCTATCACCAGCCAATTGCTTCTCATTTATTTACACTAGAAGTTTTTTCTATCTCCTCAGTAACATGTGATCTTGCTTATTCCTTTTTAAAATATATGAAGCATGTGGATATAACATTTATAAATTGAAAAACCTCAAAGCAACAATTTTTTTTATTTAAAAATACAGAAACAGTCAAAATAATCCTTGGAAAGAAGCTTTTAATACTGTATTTAGATAACAATTTTTACAAAAACTTTTATTTTTAAATTGCATATTTCTTTTAGTTTTTATTATTCTAACTGAAAAGTGAAACTTTATTTCTTGTTTAATTATTTTATTGTATTCTTTGAGTTAAGTTGCAGTATTCAAAAAGGCTTTATTACACTGTAAACAACAAACATGTTTTACTTTTTTTCTTGCTTGCTTAGAACCTTCTAAATTTATCTTTTCATAACAAAAAAACAAATCTTAAATGCAGCTATTCTTTCTTTGGAATATTTAAATGATGAAATGTATGAAGATGCAAAACTTGCACAAAAAACAGAGGGAGAGAGATGACAGGAAATGTGATGTAACACATGATACACCACTTTTTTATAACATGGAAATGCTTATCACAGTTTATTTACACCTGCAATATATCACAAATTAATTTTCATTAAAAATATACTTTGTCAAAAGCATATCACAGCAGACAACAAAAATTGTATAGTGTATGAAAGGGTTAAGAATGGTGCACACAGTTGACTTCTTCGGAATTTTAAATATGACCACCAGATCGAATACCACGTCCTACTTTTGTGCTTTGTGATAAGTTCCTTTTTCACTTCAATCTTGGATTCTGCAGCATTCTCTTACACTTCATTGCTTTCACATACTTCTTGGATGCTATATTTAATAAGGTTTATACATATATATATATCCAAACACTGCCAAAAAAAAAGGAACTGAATATATAATCTTTTCATGAGAGCAAGAGAATTTAGGTTCATAACAGAGAACATTTATGCAGTGAGTGCACTTTAAGCATAGAAGCATCTCAACAAATCCATACTACTTCACTTGTGCAATAAAAAAGTTTAAATAGAATGCATGTTGTCATTGTCAAAAAGTTTAATATCTGATGGCAATAAGTCTTAATCAGTATTTCTTAAGCAGGTATAGACCATTCTATTTGTACCTAGATGTGAATTAAGTCAGTGAAATTGAACTGAAATAAAATTTTAATTTCTTTTAAAGCTATTATTGTCAATTTTGGAGAAACAATAATTGCACTAATCATTTTTTAAGTGAATACAGTTTATTTTATTTGAAATGCTTTATTTAGAATTAAAGATATTTATTAAGTATGTATCTAAATTTAGGCACAAAATTAAATTAAAATCTTCTATTCAAAATAAATTTTCAATGATATTTTTAAAAATCTTTTATTTATTATTCTAGTACAATAAGATTTATAAAAGTTAGTATTCTTGGAGAAGAGCATTAATATCAAATAAATAAAATTTGTAAATTTTATATTTTTCTTATCTTGAATATGTAGCATATAAAAGTTTCTTTTTCCTTTAGAGAAGTGCTCAATATTTGTATAAAGAACTGCCAGTTCGCATTGCACATAGGGTTTCTGGTTTTCGCAGCTTGCCATTTATTGTTGGTTGCAATCCAACAATTCTTGCTGTGGTATGTATTTACTAATTAATATTGACTTGATATTCATAAATTTTTCAATTTTTAAAATTTATATTTATTTTTCAGCATGAACTTTATATCAGAGCCTTTTACATGTTGACTGAATTTCCTCCAGTAAGTTTAAATTATTTGTTAATTTTCATAATTTTTAAATTTATAGTACTTTAATGGAATTAGTATTTACAGTATATATTTTTATTTTTTATATCTGACTACAAAATAATTCAATTTTTTTTTTCATTAATTTATATAATTAAAAATTAGTAAAACAAAAATTGCAATGAAATCTCATTATAACAAACTTTTAGATTTTTCTCAATCAAACTATATTATTATGGTTCCCTTCCTTAGAGGAATTACAGGAAGGAACTAATGACAAAATGTTTTAGTTGTACAAATATATTTATAATGAACTTTCAGTGTAATGTTCCTTTTTTTTTTCTTGGTCCAACTATAATAAAATTCTTGCTATTTTAATGTTGCTAGAACAACCTTGTTACAATTTTTCCCCCTTCTTCTTTGCTATTGTCTTCCAACTGGTAAAAAATTATACAAGGGAGAGAGAGGGATGAGCTTGGAAGCAGCTAACAAGTTGCAAGTGTACTAATCTCAATACATTATCATAGACCTAGGTTTAAGAGCAACTTTTTATGCTGCTGCTGTTTTGTTATTAATGATAGTCATTACTTAAAACATGAGGGTAAGAGTTGTATGGGATTGTTTAAATTGCAAGGAAACTGTATTGTATATAAAAGAAAAGAAAGTTAAAAAGAACTACAAATACATATAGATTTGTCTGAAGAGCATGTATGTTGGTTTTACAAGTATTAAAATTGGCTATTGTGTCTACATGTTTAATTGAATTTCCTGAAGCATATATCTTGGTTATCTTTGTCAACATTGTCCAGTTGTGAAACAGTATTGTAGATAATTTCTAAATCTGTTAAGTTTGTATTTATTTTTCTCATCTCTTCAATGAATAATTTTCATTGTTTTTATCTACTGTTTCATTAAGAACTAGAAATCTTACAAAAATTAGCAAATTTAATATGACATTTTTCATATTGTCACTATTTAATATCTGTTACTCATTAATTTGTTATAATTAAACAGAATTAACAATAAATTTTGTGATTTTGAACTTGTAGTAAAATAAATAAAATTGGTCAATTAGTAAAATAAATAAAATCAGATTAAATAGAATTAAAGTTAATAAAAATTGATATAAAATACAGCCATTATTAACATTAAAATAGCTTTAATATAACCGTATATTTCTATACATAAAAGAATATTTTTTTTATTTATGAAATATATTTAGAAATTTTTTTTGTTTTCATTGTATAATAAATTATTACCAATTTTGATACATTTAAAATTAACTAAATTTTTTGTTTAATGCTAAAAACTATGATTTTATTTATTTTAATGTCATGATTATTGTCTTATAAATATATTTTACATTTATGAAGTTACACATTTATAATAATGCTGCAGCTTTAAACATTTTACTTGTAATTTTAACTTAGTTTCAGTAATAATTATATGTTCTAAATTTTTTTCCTAATGTAAAACTTTCTATTTATTTATAGCTTTTATTATATGGCTGTAATAAAACTTTTACCAATTTTGTACTTTTGGCTAAATTAATTCATAGATTCATTATGTAGACAAAATTNATTCTCTAATTTTTTATATAATTCTTTAATTCTTTGTTTCAAGAGTAATTTTATTGGCATCTTCTCCACTTCAAGAACTTCAAATCAACAAACTGAATTTCTCAATGTGATTGTACTATAAACTATTTTTATATCAGGGTTAAGAAACTTTAACTGATGCCAAACAGTGTACTATATTAAAAAATTATATTTTATTATAGTTATTTTAAATTAAAAGAAATTTTATAATCACTTTTACTCAAAATATTTTAATGTAATAAAATTTAATAAATAATTACTAAATCTTCAGGCTTGTTGATAATTATGCTTGTAGTTCAAAACATTTATAAACAAATAAATGTTTATGTGTAGTAAGTTTTCTGTTTACCTTTAAACATATTCTAGTCACTAAGTTTATAAATAAACCCAAGTATTTCAACCAGTAAACAAGTATTTTAACTTCCAAGGTTTGTTTTATTTTGGTTTCTTTATAAGTTTTTAAACATTTTTTAGAAGATTTAGCATACTGTTATTATTATTTTATTTGTAATAAATATTGCAATTATTTTTTTGTTAGTGAATTTTTTCATTTTTAAGTTTTCTATCTCATTTAATATTTGAAGTTGTATTCTTATTTACTTCTAATCTCAGTTTAATTTTTAAAAATGAAAATATTCAACTAATATAATTTAACATTCATTTCAAAGTATGTTTCTTAACTTCTGTTATTTCTTATTTCTTTCTAGAAATAATTATTAACCAAAAAAATAAATTAAGAATAAATGACTTAATAAATAATAAATGACTTAATTTATTTTTAATTGAAAATATATTCATAACTTTTAATTCTTTTAATTTTGTGTCATGTATTCATTATTTTCTGCTATTTATTTCTGATAAACTTGAAATAAAAATAAATGTTATCATTTTTCTTTTCTGATTCTGGTGGTTTTTAGTAACAAAATGATAATTTTTTTCCTCATTCTTCACTATGAAAATAAAATTTTTTTCATATATGATTTATGGAAAATAAGTTGTATACTCTAAACAGGGCTGTGGAGTCGCGTAAAAATCTACCGACTTCGATTCCGTTTCCTATACATAACAAGTTGGTAAGTAAAAGGGAGTCAGAGTCGGCAGATTTTTTGACGACTCCGACTCAGGCTAAAACACCAAAACTCCACGACTCCGACTCCACAGCCCTGCTCTTAAAAATTAAAAATAATTTGTAATTGTTACATTTTGTGTGCATTTTTTAACCCCTTTTTTTATGAAGACAACCAGAAGTAAAATTTCAAAATTTTGCTATATAGGTATTAACTTTTCTAAATGTCATTGGATATTTGAGAAGACTTAAAAGCTGATAGTATTTATAGTGCAATATTCTCTGTTTTTTTTCTATTTTTGCAATTTTACCTTTCTTTAAAAAAAATTTCAAGCGTAGAGAGAATTAAATATGAGATTTATAGTCATAATAATTATAAATTCAATATTTAATAATTGTATGATTGTCATGTGATAGTATGTGACATCAAAGATTTTGTTGCCTACTAAGATCATTAGTGACATAACTCTGAAAATGTTTTGAGATAATTGTTCCCATAATTCGAAAGTCTTTCATTCCTACTTATCTGTTTGAGTTATTCAATTAATCTTGCATTAGGTCACCTACTTGAATGTGTTCTAGCAGGTTAATTTTATTTTCCTGGCTGTTATGTATACATAACATGGGAAAGTATTGGAATTGTGTTAAATTTGATCCTCTGAGATCTACCGACGTTTTGAGACCTAAATCCAAAAACGTCAAAAAGACAAAGAAATTCCATGTGTATTCATTGGCATCTTCTTTGCTTAATATCTCAGGATTGGGTAAAGATTAAGTAATGAAATTTTGCATGGGGGCATGTATATGAGAGGCATTGATGCTATTAAATTTTGGTGGTTAAAAGCCTAGGGAGTAGGGAGATAAAGGGGGTTGTGTATCTCCTGTAGTATTAGACTTAATGACTATTTTACTCATTATTATTAATTTATACCTTTTATAAACTCATTCCTACTTCAAAATTAAGCTTTTTGCCATTTTATAGTAATTAAAAATATAAAGTTTTTATAACAAAATTTCATAACAGATGGTGCCATACATAATTTATTTATTTTGCTTAATAATATAAAAGTTCTTTTCTTTTAATAAACTCATAACAGCCAAGAAACTTATGTAATTCTCATTGTTGGATTTTTCTTATCTTTCAAGTTAGTATGTAATTTTTAAATTCAGTTATGTCAGTTTAGCATAAAAATTTAAATAAGTTTTAAGATTTTGTATTAATAATGACATGGCATATATTTGGCATATATTTTACTGTAAATGATTGGGAGTCTCATGGTGCATATAACTCAAAATTGGCAATTTCAGAGTTATGTCACACTAATATTCTCTACACCCACAACTGCCATAGATGATCAGGCTAAATTTGGATATAATGATTATAAATTAGAAATGAATTTGGCACAAGAGTGAGGCATTAGGCGCCATCTCATATTAAAATTAATAATTATAATATGTAATTAATTAATTTAGATTAAACTGGAAGAAAAGAATTGGCCCAAAGCAGGACTCGAACCCATAACTCCCGCTTACCATTGCGGACACATTGCCGGTTACACTGCCTGGACCTTCGGTCCGATCTCCTCTTCCGGTATATATAAGTTTAAGATATAACCATCGACAGTTATTATGGTGCCGACTGGGGACACAATTGCAAATAAAACATCCGCTCAAGGCACTCAGTCAGCCATCGCAACCCCAGCAAGGTATAGACAGTGCCATAACTAGGCAGGTGCAACAGGTGCACCCACACAGGGCCCACTTGAAAGGGGAGCTCAAAATGCATGTATTTGTTTTATTTTCCTAAACCTAATTAATTAAGGAGCCTAATTGAAAATTCTTGCACAGGGCACAGGGATGGCTAGTTACGGCACTGGGTATAGATATACAAATATACACCAATCAAAACTCGTTGTTGGTGTATATTTGCTTAATATTGGGTTTTGATTGGTGTGTATATTTGTACTAATATTCTCAGCAGATGATATAATAATATAGCTGTCTGGTTGGTGTAACATGCACTTTCTATCTTTCTCTGGAAAACTTAAAAATATCACCAACCATTTTTCCAGTTTTAAATTTTTTTGCCACTTAAATTTATTTATTGCCACCAATTTTACTTAGTAATTAATGCAGATGTTAGTAGCCTTATCAATTTGGCATCTGGAAAGCAAAAGTAACATGTTAAGCTGTCACTTACAAGTTAGCAATAAAAATAATTTCTGAATAATTTTTAGTGAATATTCTGAATAACACATTTGATCACAATGTTTAAATAGTATTTCACAGGTTCTGTCATGTCAAAACTTTTGTATTAGTCTACTGAAAAAAGGTCAAAGTGAAAAAAGTCATCCCAAAAACTTCCCCAAATTTTCTGTCTGTGTTGATAAAAAAAATCCTCAATCTGGAAACAGGTCTGGCAGCATTGCAGAAAAGTGCCTTTGGTTCTCAATGCCACTTCCAACTTTTCTGCTCAAACTTGCTGTGTGATGTCATGAAATTGTTAGATGTATTGTGCATGGGACTCCCAAGGCAAGGGAGCTGCTTTTTTTTTCTGAAATATGCTTTGTGATTCAATTTCAAGCTGAATATCAAAATAAGTGGACTTGGGGATTTATTGCCATTTGCTATTGCCAGTATTATATTTTTATCACCACTTTAATAAAAGTGTTGCCAAGTATTGATTTTGGCACTATGCAGTGACCTTTGTATTTTATTTTTATTTTTAATTTTATTTAGTGTACAGTTAAATATGGTGAATGCATGAGTTATGATAAATTTTGGTCTAAAAGTTTTTGTTTTAGATATTTTTCTATGTATATGTTACCGCTAAAGCTCGAAATCCGTTAATGTGTGCATTACCTAGCTAATCTGCAGATTAACTAGGGTGATCGTTAAAGCTGCGAAAATTATTCCATTTCTCAAATTACCTAGGTAATCTGCAGATTAACTAGGGTGATCCGTTAAAGCTGCGAAAATTATTCCATTTCTCAAATTACCTAGGTAATGTTCAGATTATCTAGGTAATCTGCAAATTACCTACTAGGCACTCAGTAAAGTGAAAATAAGATTTTTGCTGGAACAACAGCAACGTTTCTGTACGCTTAAATTAACATAATGTTATTTATTTAATTTTCAATATCTAAAGAATCAAGTTAATACAATCAACAAATTAGTTGATTGAATCAATCATCAATCAATTAAAAAAACTTTAATACAAAAATCAAACGGTTTAAAATATTACTACAATTAGGGAAATGAATTTGCAAAACATATGATAAAATTGTACTTACTTATTAGTGCAATCTAAAGATTGGTGACACTTTGAATTACGTAGCAATTGGTTTTTGCGACAAGCACGCCTATTTGTGGTACATTTAGATTTGCAGTCACATTTTCTGAAACCCTGCCCAGTACCAAGGGATTGTTTTATTGCTGTTTGACGTAAAGATATTTCTACAGCAGGGACATCCATCTTCTTTCGTTAAAAATCTCTCTTTGCAAACACTGAATTCAGATTTTGCATACAATTGTTTTAAAATACCTGTTTTAGTATCAAGTTTATAAAAGCCATCCTCTGTTTTACTAAGAACCACAGCTAAAATTGAACGTGCATCAGTTTTTGCTCTGTCTTCTTCGGGTACTTTAATTCTCACAGCGAAACCTTCATCGACGTTTGGGTGCTTTGCATTAGAAACTGCTAACATTTTCTTTGCTTGCTTTTCTAAACATTTCTTGGCTTCATCACGCTGTATTTTCTGATCCATATTCTTTTTACAGATGATGCACAATACATTCTTACCATACCCTTCCTCTTTAGGATCTACTTCACCACAAACTGCGTGAACAAACATATTACACGATTTACACTTGTGAGCACTTGATGCTGCTTTTGAGCAAACAATACAGACTATGTCTTGTATAGTGCTCTTTACAGGCTCCGTACGAAACTGTGATGGCGATTCTGCTGAAGTTGAGAGTAACTCAGTGATGACTTCTTCAACTTGCAGAGGCGATTCCTTGGAGGTGCAGGGTAACTGAATATTCTTCGTGACTGCATCATCAATCAACGGTATAGAAGGCAGTTTAAGATTACTATCGGTAAATTCTTGTATTTCTATAGGTGATTCTGTAGAAGCGGGGGATAACGGAATGTCCTCTTGAGTAAGATTTGACTGTGATCTCATAATCACAGTCTCTTGTGAATCTTCTAATTTTTCAAGGTCTTCTTCAGTTTTTATCGAATGTCAAACAATTCTCCGGCATGGACAAACTTTTTCAAACCTTTCTCGCGCATCTGACAACGGCTCAATGAGTTTTTCACAGCCTCGTACAGTCAACACATCACACCTTTGAATTATTTGATAATCTCGAGATGATTCTTTCTTCTTGGAAACTTTTATTTGCTTTACATCTTCAATTATGGAATCATACTTTGGTTTGTTATTAAAACACTACGTATTATATTTTAAATCTTCGCTAAAGAGGTTTGCGAAGAATCTTTTCTTGATTTTACTCACCAATTCGGTGCTTGCTTGCATTCTAGGATTTAAATTTATCTACGTAAAAAGAAGGAGTGGGGAAAGGAAGTGAAAGAAACAAACTTTTGAACTTTAACGATACGGAAGCCGTTAATGTGCAGATTACCTAGATACTCTGCAAATTACCTAGGTAATTTGAGAAATTGAACAATTTTCGCAGCTTTAACGGATCACCCTAGTTAATCTGCAGATTAGCTAGGTAATGTACACATTAACGGATTTCGAGCTTCAGCGGTAACATATACACAAAATATGTTATCCTGTGTTAGTTAGTCTTTATTACTTAGTAATAGAAATGAGTTATAATTATCACTTCCTGATAGTTAATATAAATATATGAAATAATTTTATTCTTACAAAAAGAAAAGATTTGATTTAATAAAAGAATGATAGACAATTTGATACATTTAGAACTAAAAATGCAGAGTTGTCTGTTGATATTAGGTAAATGTGATAATTCAGAATTGGTCTGAAATATAGACACTATATGTCTGTGTAATATATGTAATAGACAAAGACATATCTATATTTAACTAATAGACAGCTGAATGGTCAAGCAATCAAGATGGCAGCGTATTGCTTTGGGGACCCAAAGTCGAATCCAGAAAGGTTGAAAAAGCCCCAGGAATTTTTTAGGTGGAGGTCTGTCCAGATATGTCAGGTCCTGTCCCTCACCATCTAGCCATCACATTGTGGGCCTGATTGAATCCATAATGGACTTGCTAAGAGAAGCCCTTTTAGTGCCCACAGGGTGGAAACAGTTTTTTAAAAAATTTAACTAATAAGGAAGTTTTTAAAATTAACATATACACTAATAAAAATAAAGTTAATGTAAAAATTTTTCATTAGTAAATAAATTTATTAAAAATTTTTCCAGGTTGTTACAATATGAATTATAAATAAGCATTTTTATAGATTATCATTTCTACTATATTTAGTCTCAGTAGGTTTAGAATAAGTACCCATCTAAAACAGTCGTAAATGATTGGGCTATATTTTGGATAAATAATTATAAATTGGAAATGAATTTGGCACTAGAGTGAGGCGTTAGACATCATCTCTTATTAAAATTAATACATTAATATTTAATTAAATAATTCAGAATAAACTGGAAAAAAGAATTGGCCCGAAGCGGGACTCGAACCCACAACTCCTGCTTACCCTGCGGATGTGTTGCCAGTTACGCTATTCTAAATTATTTAATTACATACTAATTATTAATTTTAATAAGAGATGGCACCTAACACCTCACTCTAGTACCAAATTCATTTCTAATTTATAATTATTTATCCAAAATATAGTTCGATCATTTATGGCTGTTGTAGATGTATTAGCTTAAGGTATCAGGTTTCATTGGTCATGTATATTTATAAGAAACCCAAAAAGATTTTTAAAAACTTTTCAGTTATTTTTATAATAATTGTGCATTTTAATTTTTTGTATTGGTTTTCTACTTCAAATTTTGGAAATGTTAATTTAAAACAGTTTAATATGTACTAAAACATTAATATAGCAAACAGAAAACATTCTAATATAAAAATTGTCATAAAAACTAGGGTTTTTATCAGTAACTAACTAATGGTTTACTATTTCATCCATTAGCAACAGGCAAAAACCTAGTAATTAGTATCAGATGCCAGTGACTGATATGAAAATTGATTATAAATATTTATTTTTATATTGAATACTTTAATTTCAGATAAAAGAATTTGATGCTGAGAAAAGATATGTAGAAATGCTAAGAGGGTTGTTGGAAGACCATAAAGATGTTGTAACTCAGCTTGCATCTGGATTTCGAGAATGTCGAAAACATATACAGGTGAATAACTTCAATGAATTGAAGGGTTGGGTGTAGAAGATGGTGCCATAATGAAAGTTTAGAGAGAAAGGAAAAACATGTTAAAGTAAAACTAGAAAACTTCATAATCAGAATAAAGTACAGTACATGTTATAGCTAAAAAGTATATATAATATTTAAATTGAAATACATTGCTGTTTGGCTATTAGCATGCATTATAATGTTGTAATGGAAATGGCACTGTCTCTTACACTTGAAACCTTCAATTAGAAACTTATTCATGAGCTTAATGTTCAAATTATATTGTCATTTAATAAAAGCCTAATTTTTGTTTATTTAAATTTGAATTTATGTTGTTTAAAAGTAAGTGTTTCTAAATTTTTCAGAATCATTAAGCAATTTTAAATGAAATTTATTATCTAAAATATTCTACAGAATGAAGATTTGATAAGAAATTTCTTAGATAGAACATTAACTTCGAGGTTGGGAATTCGGATGCTAGCTGAACATCAGATAGCTATGCATGATGAAAAAGTAAGTTTAGAAAGAAGAAATGATCACATTTATAAATTTATTTTAACCTTTTGACAGATTTAAGTAATTTTATTTTTCAGGCAAATCACGTTGGAATAATTAATATAGCTTTAAAACCAAAAGAGTTAATTGAAAGTTGGGCAGACTTTGTTAGGTAATGTATACGTTTGAGATTATCATTGCACCATCCTTTTTTATATAATATTTTTGCAAATATTCAGAAATATTTGTTTATTTTTGTCTATAATAAGTGTTAATGATGTAAACTTTTTAGTAATCTCTGTTGAATGTTAATCATGTTTTATAAATTAAATAATAAATATTTCTGAATCTTGCAAAATGCATGCTTTTTAATTAAGAATAGTGTGTTAATTCAATTTTTTCCCCTTTATTTTTGGATTATCAACTTAATAGTAATTGTCAGATTAGATTAAAAATAGCTTTTTTTCCCTTCTAAAACAAATTTTAGTTTTTGCAAATTTCAAAAATCCTAGACAGGTATATATTTTCAGGTCGCGAGATAATTTAGCATCCAAGCTGCCCAGTAGCAGCTGTTTTTAATGTTCAGACTTTATATCTTCAGCAAGAAGAAAATATACTATTTACTAATCATTTCTTCCTGAAACTCTTTCTTTACAGATAAGGTGAGTAAAAGTTCCAGGCCTGGGGATTTACAGCTTTTCCAGATGAAGTGAGAGCAGCTATGTGATTAACCCTCTACAGCCCAGGCCTGCTTGGTGTGGCAGCCTTGTAGTTCCCTGGAGATTTTGCATTTTTACAGAATTTTGTCATTTTTTTTTTATTTCAGCTATTATATTCTGTTTTCCCAGTTTTATATTCTTTAGTCCTGAAATAACTAGTTTTTCTTATTTTCCTTATTTCATTATTTTCAGATTTGTAACATTACTGTTTTGTATACAAAATTACATTACTTGCATGCTTTGTTTTAAAGCTTATAAAATCATATTTTTATTACTTTTGTATGAGTTTATGGTACAAATTTAACTTATTATTTCACATTTGCTTCTTTTATTAATTTTTCTGAACTTCACTAATGATGATTTTTTTAATCTCAGTACTTTGTATTATTTTTCTTGCTTCTCAATTTTATCCATTTAAGTAGCTGAAAATGAATCTGTAATATTACCAATTACTGAATTAATTTACAATAATTATCTCTTGAATTTTTAATTATTGTAGAATTCGTTTTAATAGAACAAAATAGTATTATAACATGAATAGTTTTGAAGTTGTTTTATGAAATGTATGAATGTAATTTTGATTTTATTTAAAATTTGTCTTCATTACAAATTTAGATAATGAAAGTGTAGATTGTATTTATGTATACAATTCAGTAAATTGTACTAGAGCAAATTTTTGCATTATTTTTATCTTTAATATGATAAATTTGAATAAAATTCATAAAATTGAGAAGTCAAGCGGTTTTACAGTCTCATATAGTATTTTATTTTATAAACAGTGAAAAACCATTTTATTAAAGATCCTTCAATTATTTAAAGGAAAATATTGTTAAATGTTCATCTTCTTGAAAAGCAATACATTTTTTCTTTTACAAATTTTAAAATATTTTAAAAAATGAACAACTGAAGTTAATGCATACAAAGAATTCAAATATACTGAACAAATTATTTATTTAAATATGACTTTACTTTTTTATAATGGTCTAGTTTAAAAATTTTAAGCATTGTTACCAACTCTTATTTATAAAGCAATCAAGGATTAACAGTAGGTGGTAAACATTTTTTTGCAAATTCTTTCATATGCTTAAACTTAATGCTTATTATTGTGAAATATCTGTCTGTTGTGCAAATAATCTATTTTTGAAATGCTTAATATCTATTTTTGTGCAAATAATCTAATTTTGAAATGCTTTTCATTTCCCAAAATGCATTCTTAATTGCCTCTTTAAGTTCATATAAAATTGACTGCAGAGTAAGTTTGATTTCAACTGATACACAGGATGAAGAATATACATAATATTATTTTTTCTTATAAATTTTTTTCAGATGCTTCCTGGCCAAGCAAGATTTATATGAATTTTAATTTTGTAATTTGTATTTGTGCTAGCATACTTACTAATTGAAAAATTTTTTCTAGTAGCTTAGACCTGTTACAAACATTTAATCATTGCAGAAAATGATATCAACAATATAAAATTATTAAAAATATAATTTCTTCTGAAATTTTTGGAAAATTTAGCAATTTCTGTTTTTCACTTAGTTTTTATCTTTAAAAATTCTGATAATTATCAAAATTAAACTGAATTTTAATAACTAAGTATGATAGTACATTATTTTTCAGATGTTCTTCTGACTTTAACTCAAATATTTACTGTTAACAATTGTAATTTTTAGTACTTTAATAATTTTATTTCTGTAGCTTGAGCTCAGAAATAAAACCTGTGAACATGATATATTTTATAAATTTTTCTTTTGCAGACAAATTGCAATGCATAAATACAATAAAGCACCTCCGATCAAAGTTAATGGTCATCTTGGAGCTACTTTTCCTTATATTCAAACTCCTCTTGATTACATACTACCAGAACTACTAAAAAATGCTGTCAGGTAAAATCTATTGAGTTTTGAAATTTGTTTGAATTGAGATGCTTTTACAGAAATAAATAAATGAATTTGTAGAAATGAATAAAAATATACATTTTTAATTTACAGAGCAACAATTGAAAACAATTTGGATACACCAGAACAAAGTTTACCTCCAATAACTATAACAATTGCCAACAATGATGTGGATTTTATAATAAGGTATATTTTATCTTGATTCTTATTTCCTATTAAAGCTAATATGTTAAATTTCTATCATAATCGACCAAACTCATTACAATTTTAATTTCTTAAAGTTGAAATTTGACAAAATCAGCTATTACCATACAATAGTCACAGCAAATAAATGTCAGATTCATGTAATAAATTATTTATATTCAATTTATGCCATATATAATTAGAAAGAAAATCACAGAACTCCACTAACAGTTCTTACAACTTTTAAACAGTTTAAAATATGCCTTTGAATATTTTTTTATATATCAATATTTTATTGAACAAGAAAACAAAATTTTAAAGATATAAAAATTTAATATATTCTAAATTTCATTTAATACTTAACTAATTAGGAAAGTAACCTTTTGATAGCAGGATTATCTACTAAGATGGCTTTATAATATCAAGGGACTAATGTATCTGTAGTTATTTTCAGATGGCATATGAAAATTACAATCCAAGTTATGTGAATATAACCTAAATATAGTCCCAGATAATATAATATATTTTATGGGAGTTATTGACTTATGCAATAATAGAAACATCAAAAGATAAAATACTAATTAAATGAAATAAAATGGAATTTGCTTATTGCAAGGGTCTCCAACCTACAGTCCCTGAAGTATGTTCATAGTCTGGCATAGCTTGTTTTCATCACATTTTATTGCTAACATTCAGACTAGTTCAAAACATACAAATAAACATCTCCAAACCTGATATCCAATATAGTAACACACCAACCGAATGCTGGAAATCAATCGGGATATTTTAATGCTAATTACTAAATAAATTACCTAATCAATTTGGCACTAGAGGTTGTCGATACTCTCGACGCATACCAATTTGACCCACTAGAGGGACCTACCCAATAACCAAACAAAAGGTTTTATGACCCTTTGTCTTAACCTGTTCCTTTGTTAGAACTACTGACTGTCGACACGTGCGGACGTTCGTCCTACTGCTATGTAAAGACTTTTGTACATTAATTCATATATTAAAGGAAGATACCTTAACCAGTTTAATATGTTTTCATCTGAGTGTCTCTCCACTGATTCTGAATTAACCACAGGTTATGGGCCCAGACACTAACACTACAAGGTAACTGAACTGAACAACTAGATCTTCGTTCAACTAGTTCTACATCTTGGTTCGTATCTTTTGCCTTTTATTATTTGGTCTATCGATCCTCGCATTCGCAATGATGAATTCATTCAAAATCGAGTTATTAAATCGAGAAAATTACGATACTTGGAGTCTTCAAGCTGAAGCCTTACTCGAAAGAGATGGCGTGTGGGAATACGCTAACGGAGCGGTACTTTGTCCCACCATAATCGCCAGTAATCCCGAGTCTCGATTAGAACACGATGCCTGGACAAAAAACGACCGTAAAGCAAGATCGAGTCTGATATTAATGTTAAGTCCGCCCGAGCTAAAACATATACGAAACTGCAGCACATCGAAAGAAATTTGGGACAAACTCAAATCGATTTACCAGTCTCAAGGACCAGCGAAGAAGGCCTCCTTAATAAAGACCTTAATTCTCACGAAACTACATGAAGGAGGAGATCTGCACGATCACATCGCCAAATTCCTGGACACTGCTGATAAGCTAGCCGATTTGGGAATCATAGTGAACGAGGAACTTCTCTCAGTGTTGTTGCTATACAGCTTACCCAACAGTTTCAATACATTTCGCACTGCGATAGAAACGAGAGACGACCTTCCGAAGCTCGAAACCCTAAAAGTTAAGATCTTTGAGGAATACGAAGGACGATCTTCCCGCGAATCGCAAAATAATGATGCGCTTACCGTCCGTTATCAAGGATCGAAACTGCGATGTAATTTTTGCAAAAAACCTGGCCACAGAGAACGAGATTGTCGTAAAAAGAAGAAACAAGAAAATCAACCGAGATCCAGCAAACCCGACAGCGGAACCTTTTTTACACGTGAGTCTACTTTTCACACTGGAATGCCATGTGATGCTTGGTGTCTCGACAGCGGAGCCACATCCCACATGTGTTCTGACCAAAGAAAATTTTCAGACTTGAGAACTACTCCTAACACAAAATTGGATCTCGCTAATGACCAAACCATATCCA